TGTGTGTCCCCCCACTAACGCCACTGCTTATAAATGTTGTATTGTTATCCAACAGTGGTGCCATGCTTAGAAGATGCAGTATATTTATTTCTAACCCAAAATAACAAGTTAGTTCTTGAACTGCATGGGAGTTTTGAAAGCTGGATTTTCTCAGCAGTTTGCTTACTTTGCCATTTAACCCTGAGACCAATTAGTTATCCCAGTATTAACAAGACTTTCACTTGGATTGTTTCTTTTACTTTTTGGTGGGGCTTTTCTTTCTTATAAACTTCCACTCATTTAGATCAAGGTTTACAGCCATAGTTACAGAATATAAACTGTTGTAAGTATTTTGATATGTGAAAATAATTTGGATACATATTTGACTCTTTGCCATGTGACTTCAGTCAAATTGGAAAAAACAATCAGGTTGGATAAATACATTTTTATGTCACTCGAAATTAACCTTAGTAACCCATTTGATTTTTCTCTTAGTGTGAATCATAAAATCATAATTTATGCACAAGATGAAGTATCACAGGTGAATAAATGAGCAAATATCACATCAGTACCCATGTGATATTGCTCTATATCAGCATGGCTGTAATTCTGCCATAGGCACGATAGAGATAGATACTGTAACTGTAGCTATAGTTCATTCCGACTCTGTTGAACCCAAGGTATTACATGTACTTTGTCACTGCTATGCTGCGATAAACATCTTCATGAAGATCTTCTACGTTCTCATAATTTTTTCTTACAATACAGATCGGTATCACATGGGTACGAGTGTAATATTGCATTTATAGTTCATAAATATAGTAATATTGCAGTTCAATGGCATTGTAAATAAATAAGTGTGTAAATAAATATAAGAAACAACCACTGAGTGTCTTAAAAACATTTTGTATGCAGAATTACTTCCTTCTGACACAGATTCAAATCTCAAGTTGACAGTTTAGCTTTAACAGCTGAGCCAAGTCTCTGTTACTAATTCGAAAACATCACTTAGAACTATTAACAAAGGAACGTTGAGTTGCTTCATTGAAAGCTCACTGTATTATGTAGAGTCGGGTTGCTTGGGTATTATGAGAGAGTACTCATTTGACTAGTGTGATCACTCCAGTCCATACCGTGCCCAATCACGGTTCGCTGAGCAGCTACTACTTTTGTGTGCGCTACTGTCATGATTACGACAACAAACATATAACGGATTATAACGGTTATGGTTCTCATCTTATTGATGAACTTTAATTGTAGTGTGCGAGAAAAGCTGCAAGTTCCTCTATCAGCGTCATCTGTTTTCCGTAATAATGTTCTAATACTTGCAGCACACATTTTGCAAATTTTGAACAGAAAAAGTTACATAGTGCTGCTTTAAAACAATGAAAATCGCTGCGCTACATAAGTGATAAATCTATTACACAGTCTATTAGCGAAAGCGCTTTTCTTCCTTTTTTTCTTCAGATGAAAAAGTTGGATCGTAGTGACGTAAGTATGCTCCGGCCCCGGAACGTTAAGTACAGTGTGAGTGCCGGCCAGCGGGGGAAACGGCTAAATGGTTCCCGTGGCGATATTGGATGAATATCTCATGGGTGGAAAACATAGATATGTATAGGTAGATTCCACATTCAGCCTCTCCAGATATGTCAGTGCAACGGTCAATATGTCGTCACTCACAATAAAAATCAGTGAGTTTCAAGATGCCACAACATTGCGTTTCATAAATTCTTAAGAAATTGGATAAACTTTCAAAGGAAAGAATGTGTTGGTTTGTGTTTTTAATATGTATTAACTCAATATTACATAGTACATTTTAAGTGTCTTATTGGCTAACGGCTTCTTCTTCTTGTATTGTGTTAGTTTAGCAAAATCATCTGCTTAAGTCTATTGCTGATATAGATATTTATACATGCTTATAACTAGGGTTGCAGACAGGTAATTTACTCTTGAGTGTTCACGGACCTGCTTTGACCATTCCAATATGGCGGACGGCGTACGTATAGCGGCCCATAGAAACAGCCGCTTATAGGGATATATATCTATGTTGGAAAGACCTCTCAGCCAATCAGATTCGAGGACCAGAAAGAACTGTTGTATCCACTTTTTTCCTGAACACGGAAGTCTTTATACATTAAACAAAACACTGTCATATTACCATATGCAGTTCAGTTTAGCAGAGTATGTGAAATTGGCCAAATTTTATCACGTGAACACCCCACAATCCTTGTCTCGTTGATGTTCAGTAAGTTATGTCTCATGAAAAAAGTGACCGGACAGATGGTTTGTGTCTCCTGTCGGTATTGTTGACACGTGGGAGCTTTTCCGCTATTAGTGGGACTGTTTCCTGGGTGACATTCATTTAGAGTTAAACTTTCCTGCCATACTTCATTAAGTGGGATGAAATGAGACCATTTGTAAGTTTCCATTGGAGAACTGATTATACATGTCTGTACATCTGTAATTTAAGTTCTGAAAGTGCTAACAGTTCAACAGAGACAGATTTTGCTACCAAACAACAGAAATAGCAGGTGACTTCAGTCAGCATATTCCTAATGCTGGACTCAACTTCAATTTCCATGGCTTGCGGATAAATTTGTTTTATTGTTTTTTTTGCTTATTTGTTTTTATTGTTTTTGATTCGCTTAATCTGTGATATTAAGACTTAATTCTTGAATATTATTAAATTCCCCAGTAATCACATTGTCTTTTTTAAATCTGCCTTTTTAAATTAAATAACGATTAAGTTTGCAGGGGGTTCATGAAACATTGACATCTAAGGCACATTTACAAAGTGACAGACAAATAGTACTTTGACACTGTAGTGTCATAGTGTCACTTACATTAAGGATGACAGTAATAGTGCATAACATCGCACAGTTTCACGTGACTCCTGGCTCAACATGGCTATAAAGACAGTGCCATACAGTCTGTGTCCCAGCGTCAACACGAGGGGAGGAACAGGGCTTCCAGACTTTATAGTGATGAAAGGCTTTGTCAAATACTGTACCAACATACCAGCACATTGTACTTTGATGTTGTAGATGTTTTGCCTGTTCAGGCATCATTGGCACCCAATTCTGATATGAAGTTTTATTTACCATGTTTTGCACAGTCAGCTAATTTTATGTTGCTCTAGTGTGAGGTACGTTTGAAAATAGGAAAGGAAGTATGCCTTTCCTCATACCCACACCCGCTTTTGCAGGTACAGTAACACTATGTACTTTTTGCCTTTCCATAGCTTATGACGTGTTTCACAATCACGTACTTGGAAAACATCTAGTAAATTCCTTTTAACAGACTTTGATGGGGTTTTTTTTTATTTCCCTGAGGGTGCTTTGATGAAAGCCCTTATAAGGAAGCCCTTATCTCATCAGTTACCACAAGTCTTTGATCACTGTACATTATTTGCATGATGATAAACACAGACATGGCACAACTTTAAGAAGCTAGACCATTTTTATGGACTCAGAAAAATGGCATGTTGTATTTGCACAGCTGATGTTTAACCCTAGCTTAGTTTTTTGCTTAGCATTGTGTAAATACAGGAGCTGGTTCAGAGAAGAGGAGGTGACTGCTTGATCTGGAGAATTACGAGAAGTCATACAGGCTTAAAAGTCTGTATTTTAATGTGGTAATGAGGTCTGACCCTCATTACCAGCATTTTCAACAAGTGAGTTCAACAAATTTGAACGTCACGTTTCAACCTTTGTGACGTAGGTGCAGTAATTACTTTGGTTTTCTTAGAAGGCTGCATTTTTCTGACATAAAACATTCAGGCACACAATGCACCTGTAAGTTTATTTTCAAAACAGTTGATCAGTTAACCAGTGAACAGTTTTCAGTTAACAAGCCTTTTGGTTTCTTTCACAGTGAATTCATTGACAACAAGCAGAGCAGAGCAATACATTTTGGGAAAGATAAGTTGACAATACTGATCAAGTGTTTGCTTCCTTTGTCTGCGCAAGATTAGTAGTATGCCAAGAATTTAAACACAGCCAGTATCAAATAACATTCAGTTTGCCTCCTTTTTAGTCCTTAACGTTTTATTTTGTGAAATCTGACTCCTCATGTTCTATTTTCCCCTTGAAAATATTATAAAAGTTAAATTTTTTGATGTAAGCATCCGTAATATGTCCAAGTTTAATGTCAAATAGCTCTGAATTGTACTACAGTTGTAGGAGACTGTTTTCTTTTGAGTAAAAGTTATAGTCAATATAAGAAGGTGATTTTTTTTTTAAACCCCATACCCCGATGAGATATCAAAACACGTATTTATACTCTTTTGTCTGTTAGCTTTTTCTGGAGAGAAGGAAAATAAGAGAAGACTTGCATTTGCAAGTGTTAAACATGTCGTCAGATATCCTGTTTTACCCCAAGTTGCTCAGTCTGTCTCAATTGTTGTGAGGGTCTGCGTGTGTGTGCATACATACATTATATTGTGTATTTGCAAACTAGGAAGCTCTCATGTTTATGCTTGGAAACATGTTTGTCTTGCCTTTATAGCCAAGATTTATATATTCTCCAAGTCCTGATAAGCCACTCAAAATGCATGTTTTTTTTTTTAGTTAGCGCTATTGCTGTTCTATTTACTAAAATTGACTCTTTTTCTAATGCGTACCAGTTACCAGACTAGCTGAAAGATGTATTTAAATCATCTGTTGTTTCAAATGTGAATTTGCTTTTCATTCAGACCAACAAATATTTGTTGTGCACATGGTATGAATAAGACCATTCACTGGCAATTTGTTTAGTTTTTCGTTCTTTGTAGGTGTTGTATAATAAGTTAAATTCTATTTGTCATATGAATACGCCTTGCTAAACAGATTTTGCATGCTAGAGGTTTGGCCTTTGATGACAATTTGATTGTAAGTGTTACAATAACAAAGTGAAATTATTTAATAAATGTGTTCTTGTATGTGCATTTGCACTATTTTCTGTAGTTATATTGTAGTTGTTATGCGTGTTTACATTTTTAAAATAATTTACCGGAGTATTTTCTGTATATGTGTTTGCTGTAGGAACTGGGAGGCATTGAAGAGGTGGGACGAGGCGATTCAGCTCACACCAGACAATGCTGTGCTCTATGAGATGAAGTCACAGGTAAAAAAGAAAATCAGTTCAGTTCATACACACTACAAAAAAATGTCAGTCTGCAATAGTGGAATTTATTCTAGATGTAGAGACGCACAGCTGTTATGCTGACACACATTTTCCTCTCTTCTCTCTGGCTGTTTTCATTTCCTCCTCCCCAAGTTTCACTCTCCAAACACAGTCCCTAACTGTGGCTTTATAACAGAACATTTTGACGTCTAGGGTTTTTTCCCCATATTTTCCCTTCTCTACTCTCACAGTCTTGTGCTGCTACAGCACAAACTGTATCTTACATCGAGAGCACGATGGACATATTGTACCTGTCCTTCACTCTGGATTGAATTATTATTCCTTGAGGACGTGGACGATTTTAGAAAGTGGTCCTGAAAATGCAACCCACATTATCATAAATAAATGATGCCATTTAGCACATGCTTTCTTGTGTCTTAATGTAGGGAAAGCCTTGCTGGGTTTAAGTGTCTTGCTCAAGAGCGCAGTGGTGATCGGACAAAGCTGTTACACTAGTTCACCAGTTCATGAGTCACATTTACTTGGGATCAGACATGGGATCCTTCGTGTAAGTAGCCTAGATAGGTAATCATCTGTCTACCACATCTGTGTTTGTGAGGAAATGTGTTGAATACAATGAAATGTTATAAACAAGCAGTGCTGAAGGAGTGCTGTGCTTCTTTTATTACCCTGACTAATAAAAAACAATTACAATTATTAATACAATTATTGCTATATATATTAAAACAATTGTAAGCACAATTCATATTGTGTCTAGATATTTGTCATTTTAAATTTTAGGTCAAAAGGTTTTAAGGTCATAAGAAATGAAACATAAAATGTAAGCGTATCCAAATGCATGACTAGTTTTGAAAGTGGCAATTGTGTAATATAAATACGTTATTGATTGTATTTTTGTTATTCACTGAATGTTGGTTGAAATAATGTAATGAACAGGATCATAGAGTTTGCTTCAGCTGATGGTGGGCTGTTTATGAAAAAAGTTTATGGATCCCATTAATATGTTAGCAGCTCGTAATGAATTGTAAACCTGTTTTACGATAATGAATGAGAGCGTTAAGACCGTTAAAGAAAAAAAAAGCAGTTTGACGACCCTCCAGGCAGGCTGCTCCTTCAAAATGTTTGCAAGCACCTGCTTTTGTACAAATCAAATGGTAACAGGATATATTTGTAAAACATTTGCGTGATAAAAATCACTGATAAAAATCACAGAATAGATCATATTATTGTTAAGATGGCAGAGCAGATGGTGGTCTCAGGTTATGATGAGTCAAAGATGCCCATTCGTTTCAGTCTACAAATGACCTGGTCAGCTTTTTATTTGCTCCTTCATCTGTCAACTCATTCACTCATCTTACCTTTAATATCCTACTGTCTTTTACTCTCACCTGTCAATTTTCCACTCCTATGATCTCATCTCAGCTCTGACAGTCAAGATGAGAGTCTGCTTCAGGAATCAGGACAGTACAGTATCTTGGATCTGGCAGAGACAGATCGACTCAAAATATCAGACAGTTTTTCTATTGAGCATTTTCATCTCTTTGACAACTTAATTGAATTTAATTTTCTACTAAACAGAGGGTATTGATAGATCAAAATGTTATGTAATTCATTTTAGTTTCTCTCCTTGTTCATCAGGATCATAGTTACTATATGTTTTGCTATTTTGACATGTCATTTTTAAATTGCAGGCATTCAAATCGATGACAAAGTTCTGTGACAAAATAGAACGAAGACCGATTTAACCTTTTGACTTTCATGATTTCAACATATCTGCAATGGTCTTGGATTGCATAATTTGGATTTCTCTTTTATTTGACTTCACTAGTCTGTACAGAATTTGCTGAATGGCCCTAAATCTTGACATAGATGTTTGCATACTTGCTTACTCAATCATATGCACACATGTATGTCTGTTCAGTCTTCTTGTAACCCTGTTTTGTCTTTTTCATCCCTTCACTCTCTCTTTTTCTGTATTTTCCATTCTCTATTTTTGCTCACTTTTAAACTCTTCTTTCATCGCCCTTGTCTTGGCTTTGATGTCTGTGAACGTTGTTTTTCATGGAACAGATGAATTTGAGTGAAATGTCAAGTTGGGCTTTAAAACATTTTTCAACGGATTGATTTTCTGATTACATTTTCTATCAAAGCAACAACAGTCACATATTCCCATATGTGGGTGTAAACTTCAGAAACTGGATAAAGTCTAAATCAAATATATGTGAAACTGTTAATGTAACGGTGAAAGAACAGGTTTTACAATACAATTGTAGTGAAAGAAAGAAAGAAAATAGAAATAAAAAATAAATAAATGCATGCATATAAACATGTTTCTTTCCAAAAAAAACTGCATCTGGAAAAACAATAAAGTTGTTTTCTACATGCTATAAAGAGTATGTCAGAATGATCACGATTTATTGAGCTGAGTGCACATGAACAACTACTTTCTTTCAAATTGCTATTGATCATAATACATTACTGTGAATGTTGACTTTACTCTTTTATTTGTTGCACCCAATGTGCATTTTTTCTTCCTGCCTATATAAAACTGTCCAGTCAGTCCATTTTATTCTGAACAAAATCACTTGAACTCACATCATGTCATTATGACTTCCAAACTCATAAGTGGGAATTTCCCAGAAGCATTTGAGCGCAGCATAGGTCAGGGATTTGTTTCAGCACTGGTTGCAATTAAAAGATCTGGCTAGCCTTATTTTCCCCTTCTTGTAGTGACCTTTTCTGACTGATCACATGATCATAAGAGGTGAGTCACCTGAAAAGAGTGAGAAGGTGATGATTGAGTGTGTCCCTCATTAGTAATCTGATCGCATTGAAGTGGCAGATTGGCAAGTTTATTTTAAAATTCCCTTCTCAATGTGTCACCGTGTCCCCTGCATCTGCTTATTACACTACTGTTTAGCAGCGGCGCTCACCTCAACATCTGAATCTAACATTTTTCAGCCTGCCTGCAAATTCAGAACCAAACCTGCTGGAAACTAAGATTACAGCCCAGTTTTGTGCTTTAACTGCTGTTACCCTGGCAACACCCTGCCCTGTATAAAGCTGGTATTTAGTTTGATTATTGGGCTGACCTGATTTAAAGGCTTTAAGTAAATAACCCTGCATAATGGAAACATCTGTGATGTAAGAACATCCCTGTGTTGCCACGTAGTGCAGTGTTTGCTCGCTTGTTGTCGTTATATTGTCTCTCTCTTATGGCCCAAGTGGATGTTTTGCGTCGTGATAACACTTTATTGATGTTTAAAATTACATTTTAAATTATATCAGCTTGGTACCTGTTGTAACTGAGTAAATATGAATAGAGTTGCTCATTCTTGACATTAATTTGTTGACCAAACCTGAAGGCCAATTAAAAATATGTTACTGTTACTGAACAGTATGTTACTGTTATGTTACTGAAATTAGGTTTGTGGTTACAATTAGTTAGTTTTGTTCTCCTATAAATTATACCTAGTCATACCTCAAAATTGTTGTATTCTTAAAAAATTTAATTTGCCAACAATGTGCTACAACAGCTGTTGTAAGTTGCATAAATCACATTTTTGTTAAGGCTGGAATACACTACACAACATTTGCCCACATTTTTACAGTCTTTAGGAGTCATTGCACGTTGCCATAAGAACCACTCTGAATTTTGGCCAGTTGGAGGAGACGGATTTCACAGAAACTCCTGTAGTGTATGATGGGCACAGACTCCATATTTATCTTCATAGTTCCAGACTGTGATTCCATCCAGTTGGAGGAGTCAGTTTTAGAGCTCATATTGTTTTCATTTGTCATGCGTCTTCTAGCAATGAGGCGCTTGTTCTGTTTGACTTTATTGTGTTGGAAACAACCGGTAGTCTGGTAGCGTGTGATCATCATTCATTTGGTGTATGATTCCCAGTTTTTCTCTGTAACCATTTACAAAGTCTGCAGGTGTTTGATGCCAAGTCTTTTCAAATCTGTTTAGATTTTAAAATGAGTGTTGAGAAAATATTTCAGGAATTAAGTCCGTCAACTTCTAACCTTGTAATGTGTAACCCTTAGGTGTTGATCACCCTTCAAGAGGTGTTCCTGGCTGTGCAGTCTGCAGAGATGGCCACCAGATTCCGCCCCCTCTGGTGGGAGGCGTGGCAAACTCTGGGCCACGCCCAACTAAGTCTTGGCGAAGTAGAGCTAGTAAGTAGATTTTACGTAATGAGCTACAATTATATACAAATAGGAGACCTTGGCTAACACCGTAGGTTCTCATGCAAGAAATTTGGGAGTTATTTTTG